GTATGGTGTAAGCTCACTACGTCAGACCAGGACTTCAACTAAATAAGGGCAGACAAATCAATAAATGTAAAATAAAAGTTAAAATAGAGGGACCACCTAAATGCAGGTTTGGATACGAAAGTTAATTTCGGAACTAACACGGAACTTCATAACTGTTACAAATGGATAAGTGAAAACTTTGAATGCGTGTTTAGATACGGAGATCTATGCAATGTTATTGTCGGGATTTCAAGGCAGGTTTAGTGAAGGCAGGTTTAGATACCGAGATCTATGTAGTTCTATTCACGGGACATCAAGGCAGGTTTAGATACCGAGATCTATGCAGTGCTATTCACGGGACTTCAAGGCAGGTTTAGTGAAGGCAGGTTTAGATACCGAGATCTATGTAGTGCTATTCACGAGACTTCAAGGCAGGTTTAGATACCGAGATCTATGTAGTTCTATTCACGGGACATCAAGGCAGGTTTAGATACCGAGATCTATGCAGTTCTATTCACGAGACTTCAAGGCAGGGTTAGTGAAGGCAGTTTAGATACCGAGATCTATGCAGCGCTTTTCATGGGACTTCAAGGCTATCAAAACAACAAACAAATGGCAGAGAACTGCCTGTAACTTGCTATTAAAACAACAAACAAATACATGAACTGAAAGCTAACGATGAGAAAATATCCTGAAAGATCGACATAGCAAAGAGACAATAATCCATAAGCAGAAAGCATTCCAAAAGCTAGTACATTGTAATGAAAGGTAAAAAAAATAAATTGTGTTAACAGCAATAAAGTACTGTAGTTACCTTTCTCCCCCCAACCCCCCATACAAAAAAAAAAGGCAGGGTGTTGGGAAGAGCTCCAAGAGAGCCACAAAATATATACACACAGCATCCTCATTAAATCAATTCAGACTCGAGGAACTGTTTATTAAAAAAATAATTTACGCGAAATGAAACTTAAAAATCGAAATTAACAGCTGGGAAAAAGTGGCACAGGATAAATCCACAAGGAGAGAGAGAGCAAAAAGGAAGGATCCCGGTTTGAAGTTGCAATACACAATAGTAGTGGAAAGAAGGTTTAAAGTGCAACAGCACCTGGTGATTACAGATGCCCAACCTGTAACCACAGCTGTGTATCAAGGATTGGCCTCTTTAGTCACAAAAGACGTTGCAAGACGTAAAATGCCACAAAAGTTGTTATTTTGTATCGAGTATCTCTATATATAAGTATAAGAAGAAGTAAAGGAAAGATCACTCTCTTATTTCTGCCGATAGTCACCCCACGAAAAAACAAGAGGGGGGGAGGAACAAGTGGGAATTCACACGTCGATACGGATGGCTGCGCGCTGGGCTGTCAAATCCTCCCGCTCCCACACCCCTTCGTCCTGCGGGAGGTTTGGACTAGGAAGTAAACTATTGTCAACTCTGAAGGAACATCCGAAACACGTAAAACATTTTACAAGTAAACATTTTACAAACACTAAATAGCAACGCCGGACTTAACCATTGTGACCAAGAAGTCATGGAAAGAGAACAAGTAATCTACTATGTATATTTACAGATCACTAAATAGCAGGGCCGGACTTAACAATTGTGGGCCCTATGCAAAACGGATTTCGCGGGGCCAAGTTTGGGAAGGAAAGCGGATAAGTGAAATTTAAGAGTTTGTATTAGAAAATAAATTCGTCTATGCATTTTATTCATTCTTTACTACGTACAGAATTACTTTACGAGCCTTGCGTGTAGCAAAGTCATACAGTATATCATAATAATTCTGTTTCCTACATAGATCACGCTCAATAGCAAGAATTACCAAATGTTTCAATCTATCTTTGAGAATTGTTGACCTCAAGTAATTCTTCATTAGTTTGATGCGCAAAAAGCTTCTTTCACCAGATTACACAATTACACTTATGCATAATGCCGTTTTTATTTATCGCGCGTTGGATTGGTGTTTTCCATATTGAGTGACACCCCCCCCCCCCCCAGAATGACAACTTTTGTCTATAAATTTCCATATGGACTTACGGACTTTTTCGTATATTTTGCAATTTCAGGAGATTTCCAGGAGCTTCTGGTTAATCGACAGGAGGGCGCGGGAAATCTGTTTTAAGTTATAAAATGGTTTAATTTAATAATTTATACATATTGAATTAGCGCGGGTCCTACTGCGGTCACATAGGTTGCAGTGGCCTTAGGTCGGCCCTGCAAAATAGCAGCGTATGCTACGCCGCCGGTCGACTAGTTTTTTTTAAAGCAAAAGTTGTTAACAGAACGAGGTACGTCACGCGGGATAACTTCGTCAATTCGACCGCTAGGACACGAGAAAGTCGAGTAGAAATGCGCTAGCGAATACGTATTCAAATGTTTTCATACAATATAAAAACAAAACAAAAAACATTTGAGCCAAATCTTGTAGCAGACACTTCTCGTGAAAACGTTTAACAGTTCTTACTTAGAAGAAACAAGATGTCAGATAAATTGTATCCTTTTCAAACATTGGTAATAATGTTCTTTTAGGAAATGCTGGACTAGATGTGTATAAACAAAGGGACATAATAGCACTAAGACTAGTCAAGTAGAATATGCGTACGTGTGTATTTGTTTTGTCTTTTTTTCATCTATAGTACGTGGAAAGTTTATGTCAGCTTTTTTCTCAAACTGAAGGGCTACGTTCTCACAAGTGGAGGGGAGCGACATTTTTACAATAGGGCAAGACAGGTCGACGCCATCCCCCCCCCCCCCCTAAAAAAAGGTTTACGCTCTGTTAAAAACATTCATCAAAGATGTTCAATGAACATGGGACTAGCCTTGTAATAATATTGATAAATGTAGCAGTGTGTATACACCCTATGACCTTAGTGACCTGTCAAGGGGGGTGGGGTGGGAGGGAATGACTGGCTGGGTTTGAAGAGACTTGTTTATAAGTTAGTTGCAGTAGCATGGAGTTGCTGTGTTTGGGGAGGGGGGGGGGGAGAAAGAAAACACCATGAGCACTGCAGACTCAGTGTGATAAAAGTCAATAGAACTAAAGGATAATGCCTGTCATTCTTCCTCCAAAGTGAAAAAAAAACTGCAATCTAATAAAGTGAAAAAGTGCAATCTAGTAATTGTAGCCCGGCCACAGATATGAACAGTGAAGTAAATTAGAAGCAAGGTTGGGGTATTATTATTATATTGTGGTCAAGGAACGCGGCATAATATTAATAAGCTCAAATGACTTATTACAAGTTTAAAAATGTCACATTCGCCCCCAGCCCCTCGAAACTTCAATCCACGGTTCAGGAAACAGACATAATAAACAAATTAGACTAAATACAAATGCCAACAAAACATTTCTTCATTTCTTTTGATGGAGGCAGTCACCAAAATAATATACATCTCTAATTTTTCAAACAGATTTTTTTAATAAGAAAAATGTTGGTGAAAGACATAGTGCATTTGTCTATAAAATGTATATTTACATAATTCTGAAATTTGCTGGCATTGGAATGTATGTATTGTTAGATAGCTAGTTTAGTTAGTTGGGTTACGCACTTTAATGTACTGACAGTGAACGGATATTTTAGAATGACGACATAGACTTTGGGGTTAGAGGTTAAGATTGACGTGTAGAGATCAGTTACCGCTAGATTCTCAAGGGGATAACATCGTTCTATAGTGACAGACAAGACTGTGGCCCATTCTGTAATAAACGTTTGTTTCAAGTTCACCTTGAGTCAACTTGGTCATTTGAGACTGTGTTCCTGTTTAGTACCTTATCTATATTTGTGACGGTGTGCATGAAGAGCTCGCAGATTGAAAATACATCACACAAGGTACGCACGCACTTAGTCTACATAAGCATATCTAGAAATACTTCAGCTACATCTGACAACACATGCATCCGTTACAGTATATACCGTAAAGGGGTGATAAACCTACTTAGCAAATGAATTTTTAAATTATTTTTTTAAATTATTTTTGCCAGATAAAAGTTTTTTGTTTTTTTTCAGAAATGAAGATTATGTCCCTGTCCAAACTGACTGCACAACTGCAGGGGATGGAAGCAAGCAGGTTACAAACTCAGGGCTATTGTGAGGACAGTGCAAAATGCATACCACATGAAGGGCATGAAACAATAAGAATGTTGTTGTTTTTTTTACACCTTTTTATATTAAACATCACAGATTGATATGCAGCTGCAAACTTTATTGAGAGGCCTGAGCAAGAAACTGACCATAAAACTTCCCAATAGAAGAAAAACTATATAGAGCACTGCCTGAATTGGATACCACTGGGCTGTTCACCTGTCAAATAGAGCACTAATTAGCTAAGGTCTACAAGTAGAGAATTAGAATGCAGAAGAACATTTTGTACAGGCAATAGTTTGTAATTTTATGAAGGTTTAGGCACAGCAGAGCAATCTATCTAGGCTATATCCTTCTTTTTAGTCAATTATGTATTCACACTTGTAACAGTGAAAAGTCAGTTTTTTCACTCATTTAGATTGTAAATACTTAAAGTCTTATAATTTGATTTCAAAGTCACTTTCATTGTGATCAAAATTGCTGCACTAAGTACATCTGAGTCTTCACATTGTCATCAAGCTCAATATCAGTACATAAAATGTAAAATACAAAAAAACCAGGACAATTTAAGTTACTCACTAGCTGCATTGAACAAATATATGCTCTTCAATTCCAAACAAAATTTTCCTAAATTTTCTTCAAAAGTTTGTTAATGATAATAATGGTCACTCTCTTGTACCAATATGTTAAGGGTCATTATGTGTTTGTGAAAAAGTGTGCGTATCGACTAAATAAGGAGAAATGGCTGAGCTAGAAATCATCTAAAAAACAAACTTACCATAGGCTAATAAAATTTGCATATCTCTTACTCTCTCCTTGGATCTTAACTTTTCATACAAAGTTTTTACTGTATAGCTCTTGCTGCCCAGCTCCCATAAGAGTGTTTTAGTTGGACTGCCATCTACTTCTTTTTGCTTGCGTCCCAAACGTAATAGATTGTCAAAAGTGTATCCTACTGCAGCAGCTGTAATATAAAAGGTTGGCTGGCACTGTAATATTTGAAAGCTATTTTTTAAATAAACCTTAAACCCTTTTAATTTCAATATATATGGAAAATATTTATAAGCTAGTGATCATATTCTTGTAGACTCTGCTTTTGTTAGTTACTAAAATCGATAGAGAAAAACACATGAAGAATTTTAAATACTGATTTGTTTTTTTAATTATGCATTGTTTTATTTGCAATTGGACTACCTATATATATATATATATATATAAATATATATATATATATAAATATATATATATATATAAATATATATATATATATATATATATAAGAAATATGTATATGCTACTATTTATGAAACAAAAACAAATTAAAGAGCATGATAAAATTTAGGGTAGGATTTAGCCCCTTTCTGCTATGTAAAACAAAATTATTCAATTAGTACTAAATGATAAACTAATTGATTCATGTATTGTTATCGACTTTGAATAATAACGCAAATTTTCAAATTGATATGAGAATGGGCAGTGGAAGAAAAAACATGTCAAAGCATAATAAGGGGATTAAATATATATATATATATATATATATATATATATATATATATATATATATATATACACTAGCCTGCGGGCCTTAGTTTGTGTATTACTAATGTAGTGGATTGGATTTAGATGTATCTTAAACTTAGCTAATGTTCCTTTCAAGTTTTTTCAAGTAGCCCGAGATGAATGGGAAATAAAGTACATATAAAATGGGTTTACCCGATGTGTTAAATGAATGGGATTATAAAGTACCTCAGGATATAGAAATTTGCAGATATAAGGAACAAATTTATGTAAAAATGCTTTTGAGACACAAATTTGAAGGTTAATATTATTAAATAATGAAATCAATAGACTATATTTTGTATTTTCATGTGTCAAAATAAGAAACTATCTGTGCAAAGTGTAGTTTTAAAAATTAGATGTAGATCCTTTCGATCTAAACATGGTAAACATGGCCTAGATCCATGAAATAATACTTTCAGTGAGTTGGCAACGTTTTTTTTTGAGGGTCTTAAGTTTGTTTTAGTGCTACTATACATACGTTATGGTTCCAGTTCGTACCCAAGGAACATTTATTCCAAGTTTTATCAAGATTGGTCAAACGGTTTTAATTACTATGTGGGACATACATACATATGTCTTAGTTTCTACTTTATATTATATATATATAGCCCGCAGGTTTTTTGTTTGCGTATAACTGTCGATGAGTCACTGAGAGTGGTTTGTAAACAATTAAACCAAATAATAATTTTATAAGTAAAGCGAATGCGTAAATGTAAAAATAGTATGAATTGTGCGGTCAAAATAGCTAATCGACTTAAATCCATTTTTTTCAAATAAAAATATTTGCATGTAGGCCTACGTATATTTGATTAAAATTTTTAATGAATAGACTTAATTTTGTATGTTCATTTGTTAAAGAATAAAGTAGATCTTGAGTTAGAAATAGATCTAAATCTAGAGTAATCTAGAGTTAAATATTGGCTTGGATAGAGTTTATTTTGCACGTGCGCATGCATGACCTTTTTAATTAGATGTACGAGAATGAATGAAACTATTAGAATATCTTAACACGGCTTTGCAGCTATAGGGCGAACGAATGCATGAAAAATGCTTTAGAAAACCAAATTGAATGTTAATTTGATAAAAATATGAAATGAATGGACTATAATTAGTATGTTCATGTGTTTAAGTACAAAACTATCTTTGCGAAGAGAAGTTCTATCATCTTAAAGTTGGAATTAGAGTTTTAGACCTGGGAATAGAAAGATGTGTAACATTACGGTATTGTCTAATGAAAGAATGCTCATCAGGAATTCTACATTCGCAGATATAAAGAACAAATTTATGTAAAAATGCTTTTGAAACACAAATTTAAAGGTTAATTTTATTAAATAATGAACTAAATGGACTATATTTTGTATTTTCATGTGTCAAAGTAAAAAACTATCTGTGCAAAGTGCAGTTCTTAAAATTAGATCTAGATCCTTTTGATCTTTTCTCATGTAAACATGGCCTAGACCGATGAAGTTATAATGCTTTCATAGAGCTGGTCAACTTTTTTTTTTGAGGGTCTTAAGTTTGTTCTAGGGCTACAATACATACACTACGGTCTAAGTTGGTACCCAAGGAACATTTCTGCCAAGTTTATATATGTATATATATACACACACCTCTTGTGGAGAGGTTGCCCTTATTTCTAAATTTAAATAATTAATCATGAACAATTTTTAAATTATTGTTTATTTTTTTCAATTGTTTCATCTCTTGTCAGGTTCAATAAATAATTGTGCAAACTTTTATCTTCATCTGTGAGTGGGAAGTGGGAGAAAAGGCATGTTCAAACTTTTACCAGACAGACAGAGTGAGTTGATATAAGCTTTGTAATAATTAAAAAAAAGTGTGTGGTGTGTTTAGTATGATTTAAAGTGAAATTCACACCCAATGTTTTTTTTTTAATTATTATTATTATCTAGAGCTTTTCTATTTCAAATTTTATTGAATATTGATCATTTCAGGCCTTTTAGACGACAGTAGCTATTGATGTACCAAGTCACTGTCTATTTGTAGAAGGAAAGCATTTGAGTAAATGGTCATTAAGACAATGCTAATTAACCAAACCATTACAAAGTTTTCTTTATAATTGATTCATATACATACAAACTTTGATATAATCTAAATAGTAATATATATTCTTTGATATTATCCTTACATTAAAATTAAATAATTTTATTTTACTCATTCACTTCTTATTGTCAAATTCTCTACAAAAGGCTTATCTTCACCAAGCATAGAACATTTTTTCTATATATTATATAAAAAATAAAATTATTTAATTATGACTGATTATTTAAATGTTTTTTTCATTGATTCATGTGTTGTCTTCAATCATGAGATTGTATGTAAATTTGATAACAATTAGATGAGTACAAAAGGTTGTTAAATCAATTGCAAAAATCTAAAGAACATCTAAGAAAGATACAGAGCAAGTTAATATAATCATAGTAAAATACAGTAACTATAGCCTTGAATAATTGCTAAAAGACATTTAGAATATATTTATCACTACTATCCTCACAATTTATACTCAGTAACATAGATATCATATCTATGTGCAATGATGATTAAGAATTTACCATAATGTTCTGATTTTCTAGTGTATGCTTTAATTAAAATAATCATTTCCTTGTAAGCCTCTACAACTGGCCATGTAAAAGAAATATCTTATGATTAAGAATCTAGATTTAGAATTTAGATCAACTTGGAGCCAAAATTGACATTACATTGATGTTTAGATATTTATTAATTTAGTAATAAATCTGTTTTAGTCTTGCTTTACTTTAGGCTAATGTAGAATGTAAATTGACTTAGATTTCAGTTTGCAGTAACCAAGAACAATAATAGATAATTATTTTAATAAAGTGACCTGTGACATGTCATGACAAATGTCACAGTGAAATGACTTCTTGCAACTTAGTTATAAAGTGATCTTGACTTGAGATAGTTACGTGTTTAAGATCTAGAAGAATAATCTAGATCTTAATTATATTTTTCTATTAAATTCACCGAATCAGAAACCCTATTAGTAACGAGCCATGCTGAGATTTCTCCCTTAGAGCACTTGAAAGGAAACGGGCAGTGAGTTTGAAGGTCGCCTTACCCCTGTACAAGGATAGTCCTAATGCAGCGCACGAACTAGTTCTCTCTCATTCAAATCCTTGTCCAGATCATCCTTCATGCAGAACGCGACATTCATAAAAAATGTGGTCTATTGTCTCAACGTACTCGATGCAGTGGCGACACCGTGTCACGTGTGATGTAGTTCTCTTGAAACCATCCGAAGTAAGCACATAATAAACTCCACCAGACCATAAGCCCACTTTTCTAGGACTTTCTTAGAATGAACCCCATCTATAATTTATTATATATTTGAGTAGACCTATTTAATTAGACTAGATCTATGATTAGTCTGTATACATTTAAAATACAGTATAAATTTAGATTCTAGATGTTCAAAAGTTGACATTGTTTGTAGTCAGTATTATTAATATGGTATTAGTTTACGTGACTAGAAACGCTAAATCAGGTTTCTCATATATTATAAGAATATGCAGAAAAAAATGCAGATTACAAATATGTAATTTGATTTCCTCTGAGATAAATAGTTTTTAAAAAATATACATTTTTAAGTTTTAATTCTTATTACCATATATTGACATTGGAAATATGCCATTTTGGTATAACGGCTTAATACTAGACTATCTCCCTTGAATTACTTGCCAACATTTTTCTGTTGCTGTTTTGTCTTTCTTTCTAGCAGCTATTAGATCTAATATTAAAATTCATTTAAAATGATAGCATAAAAATAAGAACAAAAAACTCTTTTTAAGAAAAAGTTATTGAAAAAAAGAAGAAACAACTTCATCAATTTATTATTAACATTTTTTAGACCATTTCAGTAAATACGCTTAAAAATTCATAAGTTGACAGCATAAGAACAAAAATCTCTTTAAAATTTAAGTTATTGAAAGTCTAATATAGATAAGGGAGATAAATATGCTTAAAAACAACATGGTGGTCAGTAAAGGTATCTGGACATCTAAATTATTACCCTATATTATATTATAGTAAGATTATTAATATTATTATTATTATCAGTCATCATGATCATCTATGATCTAGTATTCTAGATTTAGATTTGGTATCATGATTATCATCTGGCATCTGGTTACTAGTCAAACTTTCAAGTGAGTAGTTCTCTATAAACACTAGTCACTAGATTCTAGATCTAATTCTGAAGTACACACTAAGTTGACTAAGTCACTAACAGACTATGACTAACAGTAACACAGGCTTAACTACACACACTCAGACTACTCAGAGACAGCACACACACTCTAGTCTACGTCTAGACTAGATCTTCTGTTGAATTCGGAATTGCTAAGCAAAGACTCAAAGGAAGTCCAGTAACTTGTTCGTTTTCCTTACCTAACTGTTCCCATCCTTTATCATTGTCCATTGAATTCATCAGCTCTAAAGTGACTCCGTATGGCAATTCACACAGTGATGTTTGTGATCTGACATTATCTGGCAGATCCATATTTGAAGGTAACACGTCCAACCTAAATAATAACAGGAAGTACACATTTAGTGGCTAATTTCCCTTTGCTTGGTTAAATGCACTGAACGACATACATTTTTTAATGAAGTTATTCTTC